CGGGGATACCCCAAACACAGAAAAGTTGGGTCACAGGCTTCTTTGGGAATTATGGATCACACCAAACACAGAAATGTGGGATCACAGGCTGCTCTGGGATTTATGGATACCCCAAACACAGAAATGTGGGATCACAGGCTGCTCTGGGATTTAGGGATACCCCAAACACAGAAATGTGGGATCACAGGCTGCTCTGGGATTTATGGATCACACCAAACACAGAAATGTGGGATCACAGGCTGCTCTGGGATTTATGGATACCCCAAACACAGAAATGTGGGATCACAGGCTGCTCTGGGATTTAGGGATACCCCAAACACAGAAATGTGGGATCACAGGCTGCTCTGGGATTTAGGGATACCCCAAAAGGCAGGGAAGGAGTGATCCCACAGAACTTTTGGGATTCCCACAGCCCAGTGAATCCAGGGAATCTCTGCTCTCACCAGCGGGGTTTTCCTTTAGGGCTTTGGCAGAGCACGCATTTCCCCGGAAACAAAAATCCCAAAAATCCCCAAAAATACCAAAAAACCAAAAATCCCAAAAATATAAAAAATATCAAAAAAACCAAAAATCCCAAAAATATAAAAAATACCAAAAATACCAAAATACCAAAAAAATACCAAAAATACAAAAAATATTAAAAATACCAAAAATACCAAAAATACAAAAAATATCAAAAATATAAAAAATACCAAAAATCTCAAAAATCTCAAAAATACCAAAAATACTAAAAATATTAAAAATACCAAAAATACCAAAAATATCAAAAATACCAAAAATACTAAAAATTCCAAAAATATCAAAAATCCCCAAAATCCCAAAAACACCAAAAATCCCCAAAATATCAACCCAAAAATCCCGACCAAAAGATACCAAAAATATCAAAAATAGCAAAAATACTAAAAATTCCAAAAATATCAAAAATCCCCAAAATCCCAAAAACACCAAAAATCCCCAAAATATCAAAATTACCAAAAATATCAAAAGATAGCAAAAATACCAAAAATATTAAAAAATACCAAAAATGCCAAAAATATCAAAAATACCAAAAATCCCAAAAATCCCGAAAAATCCCCAAAATTACCAAAAAATACCAAAAAAAATCAAAAATACCAAAAAAATATCAAAAATCCCAAAAATCCCAAAAATATCAAGAATCCCTAAAATCCCAAAAAATCCCCCAAAGGATTGGGGATACCTTGGGGCAGCGGGATGAGCCGGGGACTCCACAGAACCTCAGAGCTCGGATCTTGCCTGGATCCCCCGGGGGATAAAAGAATCCCGCTGCTTTTCCCGCTGGATAAATGGGATTTGTAGGGAAAAGCAGGAGCTTTCCAGGGAAGCTGTTTAAGGAAAGCTGCCGGGGCGGGCTTTAGGAGAGGATTTGGGGAGGGAAAGGGAGGATTCCTGACCCTGCCAGCAGCCCTGGGCAGCTCCTCACGGCAGGGATCACCAAAATCCCGTGTTTGGTGAGGAATGTTCCATGGGATTGTGGAACTGGGAAAGGGGACAGCTCCCACTGCCCCAGGTCGCTCCGTGCTCTGTGCAACCTGTCCTTGGGTGGTTCCAGGGGTGGTTCCAGGGGTGGTTCTGCATCCCAGCCCCTCCCAGCCGAGCTCCACCCACCCCTGCCCTCCTTAGGGTGTTCCTGGTTCCCATCCCAGCTCCTGGTTCCCATCCCAGCTCCTGGTTCCCATCCCAGCTCCTGGTTCTCATCCCAGCTCCTGGTTCTCATCCCAGCCCTTCCCAGCTCCTGGTTCCCATCCCAGCTCCTGGTTCTCATCCCAGCCCCTGGTTCCCATCCCAGCTCCTGGTTCTCATCCCAGCCCTTCCCAGCTCCTGGTTCCCATCCCAGCTCCTGGTTCTCATCCCAGCCCCTGGTTCCCATCCCAGCTCCTGGTTCTCATCCCAGCCCTTCCCAGCTCCTGGTTCCCATCCCAGCTCCTGGTTCTCATCCCAGCCCCTGGTTCCCATCCCAGCTCCTGGTTCTCATCCCAGCTCCTGGTTCCCATCCCAGCCCATCCCAGCCCCTGGTTCCCATCCCAGCTCCTGGTTCCCATCCCAGCCCTTCCCAGCTGAGGTCCAGCAGCTCCTGGCTCCCATCCCACCCCACCAGAGGTACCCACTTGGCCACGGCCCCCCCATCCCATCCCACGGATCCCGTTACCCCATTAATCCCATTATCCCATGGATCCCATGGATCCCATTATCCCACGGATCCCGTTACCCCATGGATCCTGTTATCCCATGGATCCCCTCTGGAATTACTTGGCGAGCTGTCTGTCGGCGTCGGCGCAGAGCTCCAGCAGCCCCATCAGCACGGCCGACACGTCCATGAAGGGCTCCCAGACGGTGAAGCCGCGGCCGATGAGGTCGATGGCGGTTCTGCGCACGGTGCTGTGCGCCGGGAGCCGCGCGCTGCCCGGCTGCAGCAGCAGGAACGTCAGCGCCTTGCCTGCAACAGCGAGCGGGGCCTCAGGGCCGGGAATCCGACGGGATCCCGGGATTTCTGCGAGTTCTGGGAGCTGGGTGTGCCCAGGAACACTCCGGGAGTTCTGCGAGTTCTGGGAGCTGGGTGTGCCCCGGGAAACTCCGCGCGT